GAAAAGCCCAGAAAAGTCCGTGCACCAGGGATTTTGGGAGAGTCCCTGAGGGGTTTTGGGGGATTTGTGACCCCTCCCTGTCCCCCTGCGCTGTGTCCCCGTGTCCCCAMGGGGGTGGCAGTGCCACCAGCGTGTCCCCCCACCCTCCCCTGCCAGGCCCGGACACACAAAGGGTTCGATTCCAAAGCATTTTTTTTTTCCTTTTCTTTGTTTTTAAATTTCTCCTTTGTTTTTGTTTTTGTTTTGTTTTGTTTTGTTTTGTTTTTTTTACAAAATCTCCTGGCGGTGCCGCAGCCGGAGCTGGCCCCGCCCCCAGCTCAGCCGGGGCCGTGTCCCCTCTGTCCCCAAAGCCCAGCCCAGCCCCGGGACCCCCCCGTAGGGTCCGGTCCTCGCTCGGGGTGCGGGAAAAGCTCCCGGGGCACAGAGATGGGGAGGGCGGGATGGACCCCGCGTTTTGGGGGGCTCTGCTCTGTCTGTGCCACCCCCGGGACAGCGACAGCGACAGCGACAGCGACAGCGACAGCGACAGCGACAGAGGGACTTTGGGCATCCCCGGGGGAGCGGCGGAGCCCAGCGGGAATTTGGGGAGGGGGACCCGGGGGGGCTCAGGGGTGACTGGAAGGGCCCGACCCCACCCAGATCCCCCTCGGGGCCCCAAGCACGGGGGGATCGCGCCCGGGATCGGCCCGGGAAGAGGAATCGGGTTCACATTGGCGCGGGCGGGGTCCATAGTGCAAATCAGAGCCCGGGGGCCGCGCTCGGGGCAGTGGTCAGGGGGGGCCCGCGCTCCGGCCTCGCTCTTCCCTCCCCGGGATCCTCCAAAACCTCCCCGAGATGCTCCGGACATTCCTGGGGATCCTCCGGACCTTCCCTGGGATCCTCCAAAACCTCCCCGGGATCCTCCAAAACCTCCCCGGGATGCTCCGGACCCGCCCCAGGATGCTTCAAGCACCCCACGGGATTCTCCAGACCTTCCCCGGGATGCTCCAAACTCTCCCCAGGCTGCTCCAAACCCTTCCCGAGATGCTCCAAACCCTTCCCGGGAAGCTCCAAACCCTCCCCGGGATCCTCCGGCCCCTCCCGTGCCCAAGGAGCCCCCGGCCCCGTCGCTGTCACCCCCTCCCTGTGCCCCAGCAGGGCGAGGGGGACCGGGAGCGCTCCGGAGAGGACCCGGAGGTCCCGTCCCGGCCCAGCAAAGCCCGGGATGCTCCTCCCRGAGTGTCCGAGTGTCCATCCCAATGTCCAGCCCTTCCCGGGTGGGCAGCAGAGGGGTCTGTCCGCGGGGTTCGGGGGTTTCACCCCCCCGAGGGGTCCCGAAATTGGGGAGGGGAGGGCGCTGCGGGCTCGGGGCTCTCCACGGTGCGGGAATGGCCCTTCCGAGAGTCCAGGGCTGCGCCTCGGGGGCGAGAGGGACGGAGGGGAGGGGTCCGGGAGCCTCGGGGGGGTCGGCAGAGCCCGGCCGCGCCCCCTCCCCCGCCCCAGCCCCCGCCCGTCACTGGGTCATGGGCTCCTCCTGCTCCATCGGCTCCTCCTGCGCCCTGAAACGGCAA